GTATTCTACAGTGGTGATGCAATGCTGGGCTTTGTACCAAGAATAGTTTGCTGAATTCTCACTGAGATGTTTCAGCTTTTGCTCTTATGTTACGTAAGAATTTAGAGATGTTGTGAACACAAGAGAAAAAATAATAGAAGTAGATAATATGTACATCATTGTGTGAGACAATAAGTGGAAATGATGCTAAAGAATGCTGAAGGCAACAGCTGGATGGCTCTTTGACTGAGCACCTGCTCCCCTGCCATCCAGTCCAGCAAGCCGCTGTTTCTAAAACATAGATTCTTTCTACATTTAGGGACAGATTGCTCTTTTCTTTCACCTCCACTGACTTTCTTGAAACACAGCTTGAAACAAACTTGAGAGTTCAGTGCTAGAATGGATCCTACATCCCATCTGCAGTCTCTGACCACACATATTGACTGTCTACCACAGTTCTTCTGTCTAAACAAGCTCCAGTTCATCTGGAGTTTGTATATTTAGTCTGGGATGCTGATTTCCAAAGTTTATTTTCTTAAATAAGCTTCTTCAGAAAAAACACGTTGGCCTAATAGTTATTTACCTCACTATTCTGAAAATGAGCTTTGGGCTTCCAAGTGACACGGATGAAAAATGTTATTCTAGATGACCAAACATGAGATGGGAGGAGGAGGATGAAATGAGTAGTAGCTGAGTACACTGGGGATGAAGTGTGTGCAGCATCAGCTTGGGATGGTGTCTCCTGTGGAGAGCTTCATAAGACAATGAGTTTTTCTGGCTTTTCTCCCAACGGCTGTAGTTGCATCAGAACAAATTAAGCAAAAACAAATGATGTCCCCAGGTGGAGTGTCTCCGCCACTGTCACCCCAAGGAAGAGCTCAGGTAAGACAATGCCTCATTTACCATTGCACAGGGAACAATAAATACCTGATTTTTGGAAGTCAACACCAGTGATTCTCAGCAAGGCCCCAGAGTGCTGTCATCCCTGCCCCAAGAAGGGCTGAACACTGCTGAGCTCCTTCAGAGACCATGAGAGTTGCGGCTACTCTGTTTCTTTCCAGATGAGCCCTTCAGGCTGAAGGTAGTTAAAACCCAAACTTTTAATTGGATCCACAGAGACATCCACAAAGTTGTCCAACTTAATCTGAAAATAACTTCAGATACAAGAAGAAAATTTAGACATGTGTTCAGAATATCAGTCTTTCTTACTACCCTCACCTTCTTTCTTGTCTTAACTACTGGAGTTCTAGTAAATCTTTTCCAGGGCCTGTAGCCCTAATTTTCAGTTTGTCTGTCTTTTTCATTTTCACTTGCTGTTCCCAGGTAAAACATTTTCATCCTTTTATTCATGAATTCCTATTTTAGATTTTTTCTTTCTCTCTCTAGTTCTAAATGAGTTTTCTTCTAGCAACTCCATTTTATTCCAAATGGGAAAACTTTATGATACTATTAACTTATTTGTAAAAACCTTTTTTTTTTTTTTTTTTTTTTTTTTAGCAGAGACGCAGGACAATGCCTTTGGCTGGGTTAGACTATGAGTAAGTACAACGAGGTGAAAGAAATGCCCCACCCTCAACAAATCATGAGGAGTACTTAGCTGCCAGGTTGCCTGCCCTTTTTTTGCAAAACTCTGTTTTGGTTGGTTTATGGTTCAGCATCTTTCCCAGACAGAGTTCCCAGGCACGGTTTATCAAGCCAAACAACAGAAACTCAAGGAGAGCAGCGTGATGATTGTTCTCACCAAGGCAAACTGATGCCAGCCATCCTGCTGTTACCACCCCAGCCAGTTTCAGTTCCCGGTTTCCAGAAAGCTCTGAACATTGTGGGAATAAGGACACACTGCTCCTCCTAAAGGCTATGCCCAATTGTTCAGGGCCTTCCCTCTGTGGGAGACAACATTTCTTGACTCCTCTTTACTACAGAATAGGGATCTGTTAAAAAGTCTCTGTCAAGATGCTGTAATTTTCAGCCCTTGGCCCTGCTATGTTATGATCATAATCAGCCGTACTGGAGTCAAAAATGCACGTTCTCAAAAGATATTGGCATTTATTTTTACATCGCCACTCTTAACATTTTCATTTGAGCGAATCTTACATTTCATCAACCACCAAAGCCAATTCAAGCAATCCACCTTAAAACTGCCTTAATTTCTCTAATCAGATAAGTCACCGTGACGTTTCTGAATGTTCAGTAGCTTCTGCCACTGAACATTCCTGCAGCAGAACATCAGAGCAGCTATGACAGCCAAAAGCTTTGCTTTCTACGGTGCTAAGATACCCCCAGAGGATCAATATCAGCGTGCTTTTGCATGCAAAGGAGATCTGCAATCTTTCTTATCCTCTTTATTCTCTTTTACCACTGGCTGGGTAGTTTGTGTTGCTTGAACATTGCTTTCAGCCTGCTGAAGAGCTTTGCATCCTCTGAGCTGAGAGCGCCATTTCCCTGGCCATTGCTGGGACTGGCTGTCCTTCTCCTCCAGGTTTCCAGGTACCTCTCTCAGTTGTTTCCCTTTTGCCCAGATGGCTCCACATTACACTGAGCTTCCCAGTTTCTCTTGCCTTCTTTGGAGAAGGCTGGCGATCCACGGGTGTGGATAGGCAAGCCCGGTACTGGCCCTTTTTCTGAAGACCAAGGGCAATATGCTCTGAAGTATGTTGCAATGGCTGATAGAAGCTGATACGATGTGATTCATTAACCGTAGCTGGATTCCAAGAGACTCTTTATACAAATTCGGGCTAAGGCAGGCCAGTCCCAAAGCCTTGCAGGCACGTACTGAAAAAAATCACACAGTTAAGAGTGCGGGGGAGGAGAGCAGGGCTGAACTCTGCAGCCAGGCAGAAAGTACAGCTCGGTAACATGCTGCAGACTCAAGACATGCAAACACTAATGCCAACGTGCAGCTTTTAATAATCTGTTACGAATTTGGCTGTAAGCTGATGCAATGGAAGTGCTGGGAACCTGAAAGGTGTGGGCTAGAGGAGGAAGTACAGAGTCGCTTTGACATGCATATTCTCATCCTCTGCTGCTTGTTGTTTGTCTGGTTGCTGTGTGTTCTGGCACTGGGCTGCACAGCTCACTCCAGCTAGCACTCCCCTCTTGGGGAGCCGTGTTTTGGAGGTAAGGTGTGGGAGTGTGTTGAAACGTTGCGGGGAGGTGTAAGTTGCATGTTAATAAATGACGGCTTATCTGCACACACACAGACTGAAACAGTAATTTGCCTGATTTATTTCAGCGTAAGGCTGGGCACTATGGTAAAAAAAAAAATTAGTGTATATAACTGCTGACTGTGTGGTATTGGTTACTGGGTACGTGCTGACTCACCTCAGTTCACCTCCAGTCCAGCAGGAGGAAAGGACCATCTGAAGATGAGAAAGCTGGAATAGACTTGTCAAAGTAGCTCCTGATAATTATTTTTGCATTGTTACTGAGGCAGCAGATTTTCTCCTGCAGTTTGGGTCAGAGAAGAGGACAAAGTAAGAAATAGCACCAGAGCCCCTGAATTTTATTTTGTAACACAAAGATAAACTCTACATGAGTTAATCAGCTGGTGTCCTGAAATCCTGACAGAGTTTACTAGAGGGAGCAGTCTTACTCTGCAAAGCATTTGACTAAAATAGAGTTCACTGTAAAGATTTGCTTCCATTTATAATCCACCCAAGTGGCTAGGTGTAATTAGAAAATAACCAGCACCTCGATTTTGCTCCTGTTACAGCTGCAGAGACATGTCATCAAGAGAGGCTTTAGAGTTGCTGTTTTGTTCAACATTATACAACAGTGCCTAGAATTCAAGACAGATTCAGAATTCAGTTTTGTAAATGCTCTAAAAAACATTCTGTGCCCTGAATTATTTGCAGAACCTTAAACAATAAGAAGTGTAAGGAAAATAATTGAAATGAAAAAAAAAAAATTGAAAGTTAAGGAAGTGACTTGAGAAACTAAAGAGGATAGACTCTGCTGTCATAGCTGTAATTCCAAAAAGTTAAACAACAAGTTTAAAATAGAGTAAAAATACTTGAATACAACTTTGCCAGTGTTCCAGATATGGCTACACATGTGACAGATAAAGAGGTATAATCACATTCCTTCACCTGCGGGACACATTCTTAGTATTGCAGCCCAGTAAGTGGTTGGTCTTTGTTGCCTCTTCCTGGCTCCTGTTTCTTGCTGTCCACTGGAAGCCCAGGTTCTTTTCCCAGCACAATTAGTCCCAGACTAGATCAATGTATGAGGCAGTTTTGTTCCCAAAAAAAATCTATACCACATAGATAAAATATGAGAGAAAAACATTTTGAAAGTATTCCTTCTAAACCAGGTCCTGTGAAAAATCTTGAGGTACCATATTTACATGTTGCTGCCAAGCAGATCCATTTTAGCGGTCAAAAATCTTGACTTTGCTTCTCGTTTCTACTGACATAAGGCTATAGATCTCTTTCATTATCTCAGTGTAAGTGGCCAGGAATGAATGTAACAATGGCAATAAAAATAAATTGGGCTCCAATAATCTCAGTCCTATCAATTGCTGAAAGGTGATTTTCATCTGAGCCAGTAAAAGATAATGGGTCACCTGAACTGGTGAAAACTCCATACACAGATGTGTTTAAAGTCTTTATATCTGTTTTGCTTTGCCTCTAAGTATTAGTTGGTTTAAACTCACCTAAAGACCCACAGCTTTATTTTTGTTTAAGAAGAGCAGCAATGATTTTGTTACTTAAAATGTTGCCATGCCAGGTACAAAGCAGCCCCATCAATAATCAGCTACTTTCCATTGCTTCGGTGTAGAGAACAAGAGAGCAGTGTGCTGCAGCTCTGCCATCTCTGAAGATGCAATTACATCCTATTGCTCGATTTACAGAAAAGCTGCAACCCCCCCTTTCTTGGGAGGAATGGAACTGCCTGCCCTTGGTGCAGGGAGGAGGCAGCAGGGAACAGGACAGACTTCTGTGTCAAATGGCATATAAGGAGCAGGGTCCTGCAGAGGAGAAGAGAGGATGGCCATGAGATGATGAAAGAAAGCATTGGTTCTAGGGGCACCCACAGCCAGAGGGAGCCCAGACTGGGCAAGAAACAGGATCTCAGCCAGACTGAACAGCACACATCATCAAGAGAAAGAAGTCTCTATTTTCTTACCTTTTAACCCAGAGAAGGTATGTTGCCACTGATGCAAACAGCTTCAAACGAAAGGAAGGGAAACTCCTGTTTTTTTCCCACTTCTTAGTCCTGTTGTGTTTAGTAGAATCCTCTTAAAGCCTCAGCACTTGGAGTGAGGGGAGCCCCAGGTGGTCCTCAGTGACTCAGTCCACAGCGATGCACCAACCCCTTACTCCTGTTTTCAGTGAACACCTTCTGATGCATGGAGTGTCAAGAAAGATTTACAGCCAGGCTGCTTAGAACTGCTTTTGGGGAGGTCTTGCAGCAGCAAAATCTAGATGTAGGAGTTAACCATGGCTTTATAACTGCTGGAAACTGTGTCCAGCAGTAGTATTTTTACTTGCTTTTGCAGGATTGCTGCTCTCCCTATGTTCTCTAAAGAGCTCCTTCTTGGTCTTCACTGACAGTCGTGGAGTTTACGGTAGTTTCTTCCTAGCTTGTTAATTTTTCTGACTTATGCTCTAAGGCAGACTGATTAAATTCCTAGTTTTGCACCTGAGGTAATGTAATTGTGGGTATTTTCACATTTACCTGAGTCCCCAGATGTTTCGAATGCTGTGGAGATACTGAATCACAAGGAAACCTTGGGACAAGAAAAAAAAAATAAAAAGGCAAAGGTCTGTAGGCTTTAAGCAGATTCACCTCCTCAACTGTAGTGATTATTTTTTCTGGAGTTTTTTTGAAACTTCTTTTTCCCGGAAAATACCCATCTCCACTAATAGGTTTTCCAACAATTTCACATTCCTTCTATTAGTCTTTGATGACATTTCATGTAATTTTACAGTTTGTTTCACACTTAAATATTGCTGGGACTTTTAAAAATGCAGAAGTCTTCAAGGAAGCTCTGATTTTATTTCTGTTTATGGCAAAGTGTAGAAAGAGTTGTAATTATTCCTTGTAGTTAATACTGTATTGATGAACATGTCAGCAATGAACTCTGTTCAACCATGACCAGTATATATATTTTTGTATATTCCTCTACATTCTTATCTTTCCTGGATTTTTCAGCTTAAGTAGTTTTGTATCAGTCCACTTTCCTAGGAAATTTCTGTTCTTCCTGTGAAAAGCAAGATCTCAGTCTCAAAGTCCAGGATGTTAGCATTGTGTTTTCCTTAAAAAACTGTTATAGAGTATGTATATGTATGTTGCCATGGACAGCTTTGGTTTGGAGAGTGGAAGTTTGTTTACTTTAACTCTGATGCCACAGGGCTGAGCCAGGCATAAAGATGTAAGCAGCCAAAATGTCAGCCCTAATTTTGGAATCCTCATGCCTAATCACTGAAACCCTCTTTCTGTATGGACATTATGGCAGACCCACTGTGGAGAAAAGCCAGTCAGAGAACACCTCAAATTCCCACTAATGGTAGTCAGGCTGCAGCACAGAAGCTCCAGCTCACTGTCTGGTTGTCCTTGCACATCTCTGACACAGATGTAGGGGACTGCAGAAGTGCTGGGACTAGAGGATTAACAGGTGTGCCTGGGAATAGAAGCACAAGGTACAGCAGCAGCTTCTGTGAGACCTAGGAGCTGATGGTTGTCAAGACCCAAACACCTCTGTCTGCAGCTTCTTAGGACGCACAGATCAGGAGGGAGAGTCCAGTGAAGACTCTCAAAAGCAGGACAGCTCAGTCAGACTAATCAACTCCTAAAGGGCACCTAATGCATGTTGAAAGCCTACACATGGTCACAAATCCCAGAACAACTCAGAAGAAGTGATGAAGACCCAACGATTGACAGTCTTTGTCACCAATGTCATGACAAAGAATTCTAGGCAGATTGTTTGGGCACAAGAACCTTGGTGGTTGTGAGAGTTTGGGCCTGAGATTGTGCTGAATGTGGCCGAGTGAAATCACATTTGAAGTTTGGGATTTTTTTTCCTTTTTGATGAAAGGAAGGATGAAATCACCTTCCTCCCTACCCAATAAGCTTTACTACACTTGTTCTACAGTAATGCAGCATTATTTCCTATTACAAATCAAGGGTGACTCTGACGAGGGGAGAGAAAATGATGCATCTGACTCCATCATCAGAAGGCTAAAAAATTACTTTATTATGCTATACTATATACATTGCACCTAAACTGAATGTGCCTTGCACTCACCCTTGCTCACAACTGCACAGAACTGCACTCATCTCTCATTCTCTCGTGACTGTCTCGTGACAATCTGACACACACACACTCTGCTGGCCCTGACAGGCCAAGGAAACAAAACATCCCCGCTCTGGGTAAACAATCTCCATATTGCATTCCACTTTGGCACAACACAGGCACAGCAAGTGTAAGAATTGTGTTTTCTCTTTCTCTGATGTTCAGAGAATGTGAATCCCAGAAATATTCCTGGGAAGAATTGTGCCTTGCTTTTCTCTGTGAAGAGAAATGTGGCAACAATTTCCTATATGGAATTGACTGCCAGACATTGAATTCAGCTGTCTCCCTTCTGTTTCTCTCCTGCAGATGCCATGTGAGGGCTGCACGGAGTGGGACAACATGAGCACTGGTGCAGCCATGGAGTTCCTCCTGCTCGGCTTCTCCGAGCTGCTCCATCTGCGGGTCCTGCTCTTCCTTACCTTTCTCACTGTCCATTTGGTCACACTGGCAGGGAATATGATGATCTTCATGGCGGTGGTGATGGAGCCCTCACGCCCCCCCATGCTTTTCTTCCCCGGCCAACTCTCTGCCGTGGAGCTCTGCTACACTTTAGTCATCGCGCCCAAGGCGCTGCTCAGCCTGGCGGCGGGCGGCAGCGCCATCTCCGCGCTGGGCTGTGCCGCACAGATGCAGCTCTTCGTGGCCCTCGGCGGGGCCGAGTGCTTCCTGCTGGCAGCCATGTCCTACGACCGCTACGTGGCCGTGTGCCAGCCCCTGCGCTACGCGGCCCTGATGGGCGAGGGGCTGTGCCTCCGCCTGGCTCTGGCCTGCGCCCTGGGAGGCTTTGCCGTCGCCCTGGGCCTGACGGTGGCTGTGTTCCGCCTGCCTTTCTGTCAGCCCCGCCGCATCGAGCACTTCTTCTGCGATGTGCCTGCCGTGCTGCGCCTGGCCTGCGCGCAGGGCTACGCCGCCCAGCTGCCCGCGCTGGCGGCCTGCGTGCTCCTGCTGCTGCTCCCCTTCCTGCTAATCCTGGCCTCGTACCTCTGCATTGCTGTGGCTTTGTTAGGCGTCGCCTCCCCTGCGGGAAGGGGCAAGGCCTTTTCCACCTGCATTTCACACCTGGCCGTCACCTTACTGCATTACGGCTGTGCCACCTTCATCTACATTCGTCCCACGTCCAGTTACTCACCGGCTCGGGACAAGGTGGTGTCTCTGGTCTACACCAACATTACTCCTTTAATGTATCCCCTCATTTATAGCCTGAGGAACAAGGAAATCAGAGGGATCCTCAGGAAAATGCTGAGGAGGAAGAAAATAGGTGAACTGGGATACTATAGGAGTTGTGATGCATGTGTATGTGGTAAATTTTAGTAGAACAAACACATGCTTGCTGGAAAACAGCCCCATAACCAGACCACCATAGGCTTCCCTAAGGGAAATATCCAGGCAGAATTCTACATGCATCACTACATTTATGAGAAAAAGATATCTCTGCTCAAAAAAATCCCCAACATAACGCTTGATCTAAAGGAAAATGCTTTAGTGCGTTGTGAGGATGAAGAGCTTCGATCAGCCACTGGTCTCGCTTCTCTGATCACATACATATTCAGACTCACATTCACAGTCATCCCAGCACAATCAGAAGATCAACACAAAAATTTCTAAAGCTAATAAACCAATACTACAGAATTAATTTTGTTATTTTTCTATCAAGATGACAGTAGAAATTGGGTAGTCAGTTCAAATTTTAGACTGGTAAGTTTAGCAGCACAGTAAATCTGTAGGGGCTGAAAGGAAGGTTAGAAGAAGAAAGTCCATGGCTAGAAAGAAGGGTAAAATAGCTGTGGTTTTCTCCAAATTTAGTAGAAGGCTGCACTCTGGCATCACATGACAAATGGAAAGATTATTAGTGTAAACTCATCTAACCTTGAATTATTCTACATATTGAAAGTTAAAATGCCATTAGTCTAACAAGAGTATGACTTCGCTGTGCCTGTTCTGCAGGAAGCAAAACATATTTCCTTTTATAGGGAGATGCTTTAGGTTTGGATTGTTCCTATGGCAACACAAAGGCTCAGATACTTGCTTTATCATGTGACTTTCACCAGCAAAGACTGCACCATATAAATATGAACGCCTGGGGAGTGTTGAGATCTGTAATTGTAAAAGTAATATTTCTGCTGCCACAGTTACTGCAATTTCTTCAGCAAAACCAGTGAGAGTTACAGCACAAGCTGGACTGCAGCAGACGTAAGAGTCTGAAAGGTGCAGAGTATTTTGTGAGTTTCCTATGTGTAGGAGGAACAGGATGATTCAGACAAATTAGAGAAGATCAATTTTGGCCAGGGAGAAGGGGGGAAAAGAACCAACTTAATTATTTTATTTAATACTTCCCTCCCCCGTGTCTCTTTAAAGGCCATAGAGACCCTATGATTCAGAACCCACCTTCTACACAGAAAATAGTTGAGAAAAAATTAAAATGTTTGCTTCTGTTCCTCTGTGTAATCAAAAGGAATTTCATCACCCCAGCTGCCCTCAACTCTCTTTCTGGGCAGATTGAGAGAGCAGAGTGGTATTTGCTTTCTGTGGGCTACAATCATTAAAAATTATGGTAAGTGGATGTGACAAATGTAAGAAATTGGCACTGTAACTAAGGAAGTTAACTTGGAGCCTTCTGAGGAAAGAGAAAAGTGGAATTTAAAATTGACATTAAAAGCTGTCTTCAAGTTCAGAGTCTAGCCTGACTAAAACATTAACACGGAATATTGGCTCTCAAGTCAATGAATACCTAATTACTCTGTGGGCAAACACTTAGCTGCATTATTTAAAATTATCAAAGTTGCAGTGAACATTTTAATCACCTGCCAGCTCTTCCAAAAGTGAGAAGGGGAGGGTCTCAATGAGAGAACACTATGTACTAATAGAGAAGTACTTCAGAATTACATTAGAGAAGTACTTTGAATCAAATACTATTAAGTAACTGTAATGAGCACAGGAAAAATAGGAAGCATCACTTGTACATCCTGTCAAGTCAAATTAGGCTTTGAAGTTAATCCTGCTGCAAGCAGTTGGCTGGACTTGAAATGGCCAGAGGTCCTTCTTGAGATTAGCAAGACTCTGCATCACAGGTTTCCAACCTGCCATCTAGGAGGTACTGATATGTCCAAAAGCCTGGCAATAAAACTGAAGGACAGAAAGACACTGAGGTTTATAATACTGTTCAAAGCCTTGGTAGGGGCCCTCACATATTTCTGGCAGCTGTGGGCATGGAATAGCAGAGAGATAACTGTGACCTGCTGTGGGGAGACAGCAGGGCTGTCCCCTGAACCAGGACGTTCCTCGTCAACCACTGCAGAATGGAGGCATCTGGGCAGACCTCTCCCCACCCCAGGGATATAAGATGATGCCTCTGAAAGGGATGACATGACCTAAACAGCAGCCAGGTTAGACCCCCAGCTCTTTCATTCTGAGAGACATGTGGGAAGTACAACAAGCAGTGGAGGCTTTCTGAGAAGACACTTTCTCTACCCAATGTTTTGCAGATGAACAGAGGAGATATCCCAGAGTCCAAGACCATCCTCACCAGTATTCCCACACCCACTAGCCCAAGACTAGCCCCATCAGTATTCCCACACCCATTCACATCAACCTTTCCCCCCACCCCATGCCAGCTGTTTTGAGCACTGCATAGATCTCTAGAGAGCATGAGGTAAGAGCAGCAGTAATGTATAAGAGATATCAGACACATCTTCTTTCTAAAATGTTATCTTTTAATAGACTGGACCTGCCTGAGGTCCCTTTTCCACTCAACAAGTGGCAGTTTCAGTCCTGTTGACTCAACACACTGTGTGCTGAGAGCTGGAGAGTGCTCAAGAGAAGTATCCACCATCCCTGATGTAGGCATGAGCACAAATATTAATTTTAAAAAGGTAATTTCTAAGTTCTTTTCAGAGCTTCTTGGGGAACAGCAGGGTCAGGCAGTGCGGATTTTGACAAGTGCACATTCCACCTCCAACCAAAGATGGGTATGGAAAAGATCTTTCCATGGGTGTTGTAGTTTTTTGGGTTGGGCAGGGATTCAAGACTCGCCAGTGAATGAGTACAGCTGGGTACCTGCATTTCACAAATGGTCTTGGCCATTCTTGGAAGAGGAATGCAGAGATCTGAGATGTGGCAAACATAGATGTCATGAAGTTTTCCAGTGAAACCAATTAGGACATCACTAAGAATCACTTCATGGTTTACACAGCCATAAAAACAGTGTATTCACCTTTGCAATTAATTCGTAAAGGCGGCCCTGAGCAAGCATTGTGTGAGAACACAGATCTTATCAATGGTGCAGCACCAGAGCCCAGCCTGTAAGAGTTCAACCGGTAGGATCACATCAGTGATCAGCTGTCCACATTCTCAAAAATGAAGAGAGTTTGGAGGATGATGGCCCAGACTTTGGGCAGCATCCAGGATACTCAAGGTCCAGCACCTTGAATGGTACATGCCACTGAAAGGTTTCTCCACTCAGAAAGAGAGCTACTACCAGTACCAGTGATACTGGGAGGATACAAGTGAAACCTGCCTTTCAGTATAGAGAGAAACCAGAGAAAAATGCTTTGGTGTTTTTTGTTTGTTTGTTTTTGGTTGGTTGGTTTTTGTTTGGTTGGGGTTTTTTGTTTTGTTTTGGGGTTTTTTGCACACTATTATGCTTTGCTGGCAACCCAGGTAAGACATTTCCTAAAAGGTGTTCCTATAAATAATCAATCTCCTAAAAGATATAAATGCGCTTGCATTAAAAGAAAATTCTTATTTTCATAGGAGTATAAATACAAAAAGTTTATTTAGGGGATTTGTTTCTATTATGGGTAAGAAGGGATTTGTTTCCATTACGGGTAAGGAAAGTTGAAAAATTGTCAAAAGTCCAGTTTTAAGAACTAGAAAGAAATTTCAGTGTATTTATCTTCCCTTGACAAAGTCATGGTATCACATTCCATCTGTTTTGGCTTATATGGAAAGTGTGTCCACCAGCCTTTCTTTCTTTCACATTCCTTAAAAGCTTAGAAAACCTGCAAATAATCCTATATTTACCCAAAGAGATGTTTTTTATCCTTTGATCTGAAGCAGGAAGGTGAAATTAATACAGCTATTTAGAATAATGGAGTTGTAAAATTAAATGGCTGTGGGCTTAGTAGTAAACCTAGAAAATAGATGTTAATATCATGAGGGTGAAAAGTTGTCAAAGATTTTCTTTATTAAGAAAAGGCCTCTGTTTTTGATGTTTATTATGAACATGCCAAAGGAGCAATATTTACTGTTATTACTTTACTATTTACATATTTTACTATTATAAAGGCTAGAATGCTATAGGAGTTTCTCTTGCAGATATTTATAGATAGAAGATTTACAAAAGAAGAGAGACAAGTCCTTCCTGAGATTGTTTTTTACTATTATATGAAATTATGTATCCAGCATATAAAATCTGATAATTTCCTGTATGATATAAAACAAATATAGTCCACACCCCCATAAACAAGCTAATGGGAAAGAAATATACTTAAATAATCTGCCATTTCTCCACAGAATTAAACATTTCTACAAGCTTTTTATTTATCAACTCGGCTGTTGCACTGGCCTTAAGTTTCCATTAAATGGATTGTTTCAGGAAGCAACCAGGAACAGAGGACAAAAACTAATCAGGAGACCAAAGTGGAGCTGAAGAATGAGGTGAAGCTCCTGCCAGCTGGTTGGTTTCAGAATTAGTTTCACCTTGCCCTACAAGTACCTCCACATCAAAAAGCTGACTGAAGGTGTTATTAATAATTCCAGCACTGTATCCCTAACCTAAAGCTCTTGGCTCTAAAGATCCTATTGTACTCAGTTGTCTTCCAAGCAATTCCAGGAAACAGTGAGAATGGGAAGGTCGATACCCACCCAGTGTGTACCTTTGGCTTTACCTGCATAAGTGCAAGAATATGAGACAGGCTGGTTTTACAAATTGGTATGTAAAGATGTAAGACCGTCTGGTTCTACAAATTGGCATGTAAAGTTGAGGGAAGACCTGATGGCTCAGCAGCATATGGCCTCTAGCCTAGTCACTGCTGAAAATCAGGTCTCCTAAAATCTGTGTAGTGTTTCATTGTGGTTTTGCTGTACAGTTGCTCTCAGCATTCATTTCAGTTTTCATGTTTTGATTTAGTTAATGAGTTCAAGTTTCAAAAAATCAAGTGGGAGGCTGAACTGAGAATAGAGTTGGCAGTGAGTCGGGAAGATGTTGACACATTCACTGCTCTCTTTCCACCTGCAAGGTGTCTGCTTCAAATACCTTCTCCTGATGCCCACCTTGAAACCTCTCAGGGAGAATGCTGCTTGCTAACACAGTGAACAGTGGAAACTATTTCATTTCTGCACTGGACAGCAACTCTTCAACACCAGGATCAAGCTACAACAGCAACAAATATGGACAAGCTTCTTGTGTTTAGATTGTGAAGGAAAATGTAATTTGTTAAGAAGAGGACCATAAAAATATCTTGAAAAAACATATTAGAAACATACATAAAAGCTTTAAAACATTTGTTATAAACACCCAGAAAATAAAAGATTTATTAACTTACACCTTCACCTGTAAGAGCAGAAAAAAAATTTAAAATCACACTATCTAAGTGACTAGTGACATGGCTTTTTCTTGTATTTTAGTAAAGCCTTTTCAGCGTCAGTGAGATATTTTCATGCTTGAACATAATTAATCCAGGAGTGGGGAAGAATGGCTAGAATATATGAAAAAATTACAGAGAGGTATGTGTTTGCCATGCAGAGGTTACTATTGCTATATTTTGAGCTTTGATTCACCTACTAAAAATATTATAATCTCACTTTTCTATAATGTAGTGGAATAAGTCATCAGCATTTCTCTACTAGAAATAAGTAATCAGTTCATTTCTCTACTAGAAATCAAATTTATCTGGGTCAGATTTTATGTTTATCACACATATGCTGTTGTGTTAGTAATGCTCAAGGAGAAACTGAATCCTCTCATGAAATCTTAATGCCGCCAAGATGAATACATATCTTTAAAGATACCCAGGAAGAATGTGCCCTCAAAGAGAAGTGCTAAGTGTAGAACTGCACTTTTTGAATTTCTAAGTATATAATGTGCTGCAACAGTATAATAGAAAGTAACTAACTCCTGTGACCCAGATTTGTACCACTTAGGGAAGTTTTATGATTAGGAGAATGAATCAGATTCTATTATGACTTGCTTTTCATTGGATTCCTCTCGTCTGTACAAAATGTCACGCCTCAGCATAGGCGAAGCCCTGTTTGGCTGCTCTCCGCAGGCACCGGGACCTCTGGGGCTCCACAGCCGCTGGACCACGAGGGGGAGCCGAGCCGGGCTAATACGGCAAGAGAGTTATCTCAGGTAATTTCTGCCGAAAAGCTAGGTCCTCCCCCTCATTTGCAGGATGGTGTAATAATTTAACTGAGCCCTGTTTTGCAAGCCAAATAAGAGCATGGCAGACCATGGCAGGATGAGCTTATCCAGAGACAAAAGCCAGCGAGCCTGCAGTTCAGGCAGCAGTGTAAACAAGCTTCCCTGCCTGATCAGGTATCCAGCCAGAGCATCAGCACGCAGAGAAACACCTATTTAGTGAGCTGCTGATGATCAAGTAAATGGAGTTTTATTCAGGAATACTGGGCTTCTTCTAGTCCATGTATTGTATGACATCTCTGCTGGGTGGAAAATGCATTTGGGAAGTTACCCTCTTGTTTTGACTGGAGCCCAAGTAAGGAACTGCCTACATTCCTGGTGGAAGAAAATGTGATTGCTCATCTACCAATGATGAACTGAATGAGCAAAAGATTGATGTAGGGAGGGATGACTGGAGGCCTTTAGCCCAAATACCTGCTCACTGCAGGGTTAACACCAAAACTGTGTCAGGTTGCTCAGGGCCTTTCAGGTAAAGCTTTTACATCTCCAAGGGTGCTTTTCTCACATATGTGAGGAAGAATAAAGGAGTGTCTCCTGCTTCTTCTGTGTATGAAAACTCAGATCTGTGCCTTGTCTCTATCAGCTTCATTCATTCCCTTGCCCTTGTTCTTCTTCTCAAGGGAGAAAGATAACCAGCTTGACTACTTGTGCAGTCAGGTCCTCAGGTCTCTAACATAGGGGTGGCTGCTATGTTGATCCAGAGGAGCTACTTGTACTACTTCATAGGAGTTTAAAATATTTATTTAAAATAAAATCTGAGTTTCTGAATGAAACATGTGGTAGGAGTCTAAATTGTTGGAGTCTGTTTTCTGCAGAAAAACAGTCTGAAGTCAGCTGTTTGAAATACTCTAAGATAATTGTTGGTGGAGTAGAGCCAGAAAACCTTCTAAGATAAACATGAAAACACTAGAATATTTAACTGTGGTCATGCAGGTGAGAATAAGGGACAGAAAGCACACACTTTGTGCAGGGAATAAGACTTTGAAACAGAGGATATCTTAGGCTCTACAAAGCTGTCATAGATTACTCCTAGAGTTGTAGAAATAGTAGATAAAAGGAGTGAATCAGAGACCACAGAACAAGAGCAAGTTCCTCCTTTAAACTGAGGTGAGACTTGTTGCAAAATGGATTTGAGGCCTCTGGAAGACCTATACATCTATGTTACTAGGATACCTTACTCAAAGCCAGTTCAGGATGCACAGATTCAAGTTATCAGTAGCAAAGGGATGCTTTGATAATTAGGGAAGTGATATCAAGTGAGAAACTCCAGAGATTATTTCTAGGTTCTGTTTAATTCATCATCTGTAAGGACATTTAACAGCACAATGGTGAAACTAATTCTAAAATATGAGGAGCAGCAAACAGAGTAAACAATTTGTAAGAATCATATGAGACAGTTCTGTCTGAACTGCAGTTCAAAAGAAGCACGTCCCAACTCAGCCTTGGGAGTGCCCTTTGACTTTCCCAAGAGCACATTAAAACAAAACCTGGTGCACAGCCTTCCTCCTCACTTCCCTCACCACAAGCCCACATAGCTGTAGGAGGAAGGCCCAGGTGTGTTGTGTGGTGATATTTTCCAGCTGGATACCTAATCACAGTGATACTCAAAACAAGATTCTGGGAAATGGAAGGAAAAAATATGCCCTGCAATTCAGAAATACTCAGAGGGCCAAGAAAGACAGGATGAGAATCAGCCCAAAGACATGCTGAGAGTGAGCTGAAAAGATGAAGTTACCTTCTTAACACCAAGACGCATGCCAGAGATGGGATGCTCACTGGGAAGCCATGAGAGTGAGAGGCTGTGGGGATGTAAATCATAGAATCATAGAATATGATTGTAAACAAGACATAAAAAGATTTTTTAAATTAAGTTCTTTCAGTTTTGCTTATTTGGTGTTTGTTTGGGATTTGTTTGTTTTAGTTGTTTGTTGGTGGTGATTTTGTTTGTGTTTTTTTACAGTCAGAGAATTAATTTTGCCCAACAATATCCAAAGACAAAATCCAAGCTTGTGATGCACAAACAGAATAACAATGTCAATGAAATACTGAGTATGAAAATGCAGTTGTGGTATTCACTCTTCTGGCTACAGTCTCTGTGTATATTCCCTCTTTTTCCCTTTGGATCTGCATTTTGGTGCAGAGGACACATGGGAAAACAATCTGGCAGAGCTTTTACAGGTATCAGCAAAGTTCCAGGCATTTTGTGTTTTTACTTCTGTATGCTCCCAGTTGTTTATAGATTTTCTTCAGATCCTGATGCTGCTGAAACATTAGACTGTATTTTGTTTCACTATCATTGTACACATTCTGACTGTGAGCTACACTAGATTATCTCCAATCTGAAAAACCACAAAGCAATAAATACGATTTCTGACCACCATTACGTGGAAAACTCCAATTGCTGATCCCCTTCTGCCAACACTACAAGGAGAAGAAAAAGAAAGTAATTTTTTTTAGGCCACATTCTCCAGTAAGCTCAAGTAAATTGGTTCGTGCCTACTCCTTGGATCAAATGTTCTGAGTATCTGCACACCAGGGGCATGGAGAGAGAACATCCCAAGGCTCTTCACTCCAGAACTTGTCACTTCTGGGATTTTACAGATGCAAACTCTGTTAGTCCTGAGGAGCCAAATATCAGGCATCGTCACTGATTTTTTTTTCTCCTGAGGAAGGACATGAGCTCCTGGCCTTCCCTAGAGCCTTATCCTCCAGTTGCAAATGGTTCTTTCCCATTTCATTTCTATTTAGGCCTTGCCTATGTCGTACCATCACAGAGAAGTTAGCTGTGGGTCTGTCCGCCCCACTGCTACATCACATACTGAAGAAGGGACAGAACTGTACAAATGAAGCCCTAAATGGACACATTCCCCCAGCACAAACTAAAGGTATGGGTTGTAGACCAAAAAATCTTATATGACTCCTGCAATGGGAGTCATTCAATTATGGGAGAAACATAGGCATAACAATTTGACTTAGCACTGTGGACTGATACAGAGAATTTTAGACAGGATTAAACTGTAACAAATTTAAGGTACAACTACTCTGAATGCCATTTACATGTGAATTATTTGCACCTATATTTTACTTCATGTGCTACGTAAAATTATAAGCTTAGTATTGTAACCATTTGTTCTGAAATGTCTCTTGCCTATGTTCAGACATCTTGGGATAGATCTTGCTTTCTCAGGATGTATAGTTTAAGAATCACAGAATTCACTGAAAGATTAGATGCCAAGGCCCTCAGAGAGTCCACAGTCCCAAATGCTGCTCAGAGCAGGGCTGACTCCAGAGGTGGATATGTTGTTCATGGCTGTGTCCTGGCAAATCTGGAACATGTCCAAGGGTGGAGATCCCCCAGCCTCTCTAAGCAACCTGACAAGGTCCTTTCTTTAGCCTTCCTTGGGGAGGAGGAAGAGAGCAGGAGGAATGCAGCCGTACAGCAAGTGTAAGTGTAATAATACCATCTGTATTTTACGGGGAGGGGTGTAATAGCTGTGTATGGGTGGGAGTAACATCCTTGATGAATGCCAGAAGAGACAGAACAAAGGCAAGTTCTTTTGTATTTATGTCCCTCAGGAAGAAAACAAAGAGTCCCATGAGGTCTTCCTACACAGAGAAAGAATTCTAGTTTGCTTCCTCTCCTTTTTTTTTTTTTTTTTTTTTTTCTGAGAAGCAGGCACTGTCCATCAATGCTGAGGAGCATACTAAATGAAAATCAGTAATTCTGCCAGACAAAGTGGTATTGCTGTCACGCTGTGACATACTTGGGAACTAAATGGGCTGCTGTCGCTGTGTACAGATGGATTTCCTAAACATATTCAGTGAGGATGGCTCAGTGGTTTTAGCCCCATTATCACAGATCACGGAATCACAGAATGGTTTGGCTTGGAAGAGACCTGGAAGATCATCTATTTCCAACTGTCCTGCCATGAGGGTTGGAACTAGACCTTCCACTAGACCAGATTGCTCCAGGGTCTCACCCAACCTGGCCTTGAACACTTCCAGGGATGGAATAGCAACAACCTCCCTGGGCAACCTGTCCCAGTACTTCACCACCCTGAAGAATTTCTTCCTAAAATTTCAGTTTAAAGCCATTGGCGGGGCCGGCGGGATCGGGAAGGATGGCGAGGGCTGCCCAGGAGGTGGCAATCGGGAGCCTCTTACGGGAGTGGAGCAAAGGTGGAGGGAGGCTCCCAGGAAAGAGGTGGCTGCCTTTAAGGTGGGTTTATTTGCCTGCCAGATGGGAAGTCTGTGACCAGCCCCTTAGAACAGGTAAAGGCAGTAAGGCTTCTCCACCCACTCGCCTTGATCTTTCATCACCACCGTGGGCCAGGCTTGTGCAACGTGCGCGCCGCGCTCGGGAGGCTGCGGGAGAGGCCCATGCGCTGCCCGCAGCAGCCCGGGCACGGAGGCCGGAGCCGGCGGGGGCTGCGAGCCGGGCCCCCTCTCCGGCCAGCCCGGGGCTGAGCGCCTGCAGCGGCGGGATGGAGCTCTCCCTCGGGCTCCTTCTCCTCTGGGCTCTCCTTCCTGCCGAGGCGCACGGCAAAGAAGGTAAGCGTGGGACCCGCCGGTCCCTCTGCCTGGAGGGCTGGGATGGGGCGCGCAGCGAGAGCGACCTCGCTGAGGGACAGGGAACGGGACCCGGCCCACGCGTCTGGGGCTCCAGGGACACCTCCGAGCGACTGGGGGGTCAGGGAAGGGCAGCCGGGTGTGGGGGGACCACGGCCTGGCCAATCCCATCCGAATCTCGGTGGCTCAGTGAGCGAGCCCAGGTGTGTTCTCGCCCTCCTTCACCTCCTCCTAGCCGAAGCACAAACGCCCCGGCATATCCAGTGATCCAAGAGAATTCTGCCCCTGTTCCCCTCAAACACGGGCCTTGCAGATAACAAGTTTAAACACAAACTCAGAAAGTTTCTCCCCTCCTCTGGCAACACCCCCGCAGTTTCCTGAGGAAGCCCTCCTAGGAGTTAACCCTTGTGAGCAAGCGGACAGTCATTTTATCAGAGTCTTTTACCTACCCTACTCCTGGAATGAGCTGGGCTTTAAAATTTCCTCTTCCACCTCTTTAGGCTTCCATGTTTCCTTTCCCTGTACCACTTATTCCCTTTTATTAGATGTAGTGATTTTTTTTTTCCTTCCATCTTGGTAGTTGCACAGTGGTTATGAAACATGGGAGAATGGTAACTTTTTAATAGAGAGGTGAGGGAAGTGTAAATCTCTGTTTCCTACCTCCTCCTGCAGTCAGTTCCTGCTAGGGACTTCTGTTTTGTACAGCAAGAGGTGTTGGGGCTTTTCCATCCCAAGGACAATCCTCCTTCGCTTCTCCGGGCTCTGGACTGAGGGCACTTTGTCATAACTGGCAGTTCAACCATGGACTCAGCTCTGATTTTGCGAGTGCTCAGTGATCTTTTAAAGGGTCCTTGACAAGCCCGTTTCCACTAAGGATCCAGCTAGGTTGTGGATGCAGCTGGCAGAAGCAGTGGAGAAGGCCAGCCTGGGTGAGAAGTAATACCGGGTGGCACCGCGCAGGCTTCGGTTTCCAGAAGTGTGACCAGTAGTTGGCACTAACAGTCAGGGACCTGTCTGCCCGCTCATCCCCTATCTCAGCCATCTCATTTGGGCTGTGTCTGTGATCCACTCTTCCTTAACTTGTCTCTCAGGGAAACTGCTCATTTTCCAGGCGTCCTCTCTTATCTGAAGCCTTTCTTCTTTTTGGGGACACCTCCTCCCCTGTGGCTGGGCAGCCACGTGAGACTCCTAGAAGCAAAGATGTGGACCAGAGAGTCAGTAGTCCCTGAGGACTTTATTCCTCTGCTTCTGTAGTCTTATTGACACAATCATCCTTTCCATGGAGAATCCCTGTTGTGGGATTCACTTTGAGAAGTACTTCTTGCCAGTGGGCTTTGTCCCTCCAGTGGGCACTCAGCAGCTGAAGGAGCTGCCATTGCTGGCGGTGCAGAGCATGGCACAAGGGCTCTGCCAGGTTCCTGTCCCAGCCACTTCCAAGTTCCTTTACCCTTGCTCTGCTAGAGCTTGCCATGCAGCCCCTCTCACTTCCACATCGCTGCTTCACTCCTGAAGAGGATGGGACGGCATAGATTTTAATTGGGTGATGGTTCTGGCAGGACAGGCTACCTCACCCTCTGAGCTTTTGGAGCTAACCACAAAAGAATATTATCTCAAATAAAGAGATTGAGAGTAGAGGGGAAGTGAATGAGGAGCGTTGTCTGGACAGGGAGTCTGTGGCTAGGAAGGTTTTGCCTTATGACCATACTGTGAGCACTTGGAACTTGCAAAACCTGGATTCCTGCTTTTCCCTTCTCCCAATCCTGAAAGGGTGTTTCAGAGGTGAGAACAGCAGCGCAATCCCTCTTATCTCTGATTCTGGGCCCACAGCCTGCTTCCTCATTCCACAGGACTCTTGCTGATCTGCACTTTACACTATTACTTATAGTTGGCAGGGAGTATTTGTAAAAGAGTCAGATGAGGGGGAGGAAACCTGGTTATTTAAATGCCCTTTAAAAATCTCCCCACTCCTACCTTTCACCCCCAGTTTCTTTTCTGAGATGTTCAGAAACGACCCCTCTGAATACACCCACAGGAATCTAAAAGGGAATCCAAAGAATTTTTCTGTTTCTTATGCTCCCAAGCTGGGACTTCGATAGGTGCACAGAAACCAGTATTCTGTTCTGGCATCACCGGCAGACCCAAAGGCAGGCACGAAGCTGCACATCCCACAGTGTGTCTTATTCCAACTCCTCTGCTTTCTCAATGTTTGCCTACAAAGTGACACATTTTTAAACGTGTCTTCAGATCAAGACTTTAGGCCAAACTGTGATCGCCTGTTCAAATTCCTTTGAGGGCTAAAAATGAACATACCAATAATTTCTCCTTTGTCACACGACTCCAGCAGCAAGGCTTAGAGTAGCCGTGCAATTCCGCAGGAGCTGGCCATGCTATGGCCGGAACCATTACTCTCTCTTGATGTCCCGGCCAAAAAAGTCGGAAGGTTGGGAGAGGGTTAAATGATTTCTAGGCCATCGTCAGCTGGTGGACAGTTTGAGTTAGACGTGGGGGGCTCATCAATTTGCACAAGTGGTGTATCTCCGGGCTTTTGGGTGCTGTGACAATGGAAAGTCCCTTCTACAACTTCACACTACCTCTGTACTTTCCCACTGTGTTTCAAGTACTGAATAGTCCCTCCAGGCGACACTGATTGATCTTTTGTGTTGGTAATTTATTTGATTGCCTTACTCTTCAGCCATTTAGTTTGCTGCCTTCCTATTTGAAGGAAATATGTGTTCAGCTGCTAATGCCGGGTACCCATCTGAATAGGCTTCAGCCTCCTTCTTCCTTTTTGGGACAGTTTTAGGAAGTGATAAAATTTGTCAGGGTTGTGTTTTTTGGGATATATATAGAAGGGGGGTCTCATATATTAGTAAAACTTTTAACTCCTGACTAACTGCCCTTCTCCTCTAGTCATGCTTTTTGAAGTGAAAGATTTCAAAGGATGAGGGGGGTTTGAGAGAGGAAATGCAGGCTTTACCTTCTTTGACAAAATAAGGATGAAACCATTCTGTGGGCCATATGAGTTGGGTCATGGATTTTTTTTCCCCCCTCTCTTCTGGTTTTCAGTGGATCTACTTGACACAAGCACTGCACAGGGTGAACTGGGCTGGCTTCCCGACCCTCCGGAAGTAGGGGTGAGTACCCACATTCAAGGAAGGGGAGCCACTGGCAGTACTATATGATGGAAAAATATAACCATGTTGAAATTTCACCCTACCTCTGGAAACTGAGCTTCTGAGGCTCCACCACCTCCTGGACATTTTAGGCTTTATAAGTCTCTCTCCCTTCACTTGTGCAGCCTCAACCCTAGCCAGCTTTTTAAGGACTGATGCCTATTGACTTCCAGTATGATTAAACATATCCTTAAAATATACTGTTTCCATGAAGTAATAAAGTAATGAAGAAAAATGAAAAAATCAAATCATCCCCCAGTTTTTCATTCTGTTATGCTGCACATAAATCTCATGTCTTTTTTTTTTTTTCCCCAGGAAAATAGGCAGAACAAAAGTATTTCTGTCTCAGTCTCTCAAGAAATTAGAAACACATTATAGTTTTTTTTTTAATTCAGCAGCTGACTGAAGAAATAACTGTTAACTCATGGGGCAGCAATCTGCCTGTGTGGGTGGGCTGCAAGATTCTCGGACTTTACACCAAGCTGTGGTGTTTGGTCCACACAGCTGACAATGAGAGAGGAATTTCCCTTTGTTTTGTGACTGTAAAATTGAGTTGATGAAAATGCTTCAAAATGTACTCCTGAAACCACTGCAACAATGGACCCTGAAAGACAGCTGAACTCTCAGCTATTTTTGTGCAAGTACACCTATTTTGTATGAAGCATAGTTGGGCAGTCTCTCTGGTGTCACAGCCTACACCAGTGAAGGTGGTTTCCTCTGTAGCAGCGGTGCTGTGGGAGTGGTGGAAGGAATGCACAAAGGAAAGGGAATTTAGGGACTATGCTGTGGTAGTTAGCACGTATGTTAATACACAGTTTCAGTTCCTCATCCGTGCTCCTGTGTTTGTAGCAAGTCCCAAGCTTTCCAATGGAGAGTCTTCACCCTTCCTGCTCTAAAGTAGCCCTGGGTAGAGCCTGTTCCTAACTCATTTCCGTAACTTTCCTCTGTAATGGGCTGTGGCTGGTTTAAATCCACCCCAGCCTCCTCCTCCTCCCCAGTAGCATTGCTGGGTGAAGTAGAGCCAGACAGTGAAGTTCTCCTGTACTGGCATAACTGCATTTGTTTCATTAGTAAAGCTGGTTTTGTTATTATTAATAGTATTATTATACCCTGCTCAAAACAGGTGCCCTAGTGAGACATACGTGTAGATCATGTTTTGCCCATTGTTCCCTTTGTTGTCTCATCAACTCTCTGTGTGGTAATTTTACCCCAATTCTAGGCTCCAGGCATGTTCAGGATGAAGTTTGCCTCTTGAAAAGATTGAACAAAACAACTGAAAACTGCGTTCTAAAACCAAAATCTGATAGAAAGAAAATAAAATCTTTATTACAGAACATCTGAGTAGGTTCAGAGCAGTGTGAGGAGTTGGCAAATCCTTCTGCTTGTGCTATATTTGCTTTTTGAAATACGTATATTCACAATGTAATTGTAATGAGAATTGTTGAAAATTATGGGAAACACGGCCTGAGAGAAAATCAAAACTAAAAGATCAGGATATGGATGACTGATAAAACAACAGAGAAAGAAGAATAGATTCATTGACTTCTCACAAGCAAGTCTTTTGAGATTTGTCTAATTACATAATTTCCCAATAACTGTTAGGTGGAAGTCCGACAAATTGCCACAAGCAAAAAGGGAACAATGGCTGATTCTCTTGTAATGAGAACATTGAACAGGTGTTTCTGAAACCATTCCTTCAAAAGGAAGAATTAAGTACATTCAAAA